GTTTCTGTTGAGAAATCAGCTGACAGTCATATGGGTGCTCCCTTGTAGATAATTAATTGCTTTTCTCTTGCTGCTTTTAAGATTCTCTCTTTGTCTTTAACCTTTGGCATTTTAATTATGATGTGTCTTGCTGTGGGCCTCTTTGGGTTCCTCTTGTTTGGGACCCTCTGTGCTTCCTGGACTTGTAAGTCGATTTCTTTCCCCAGGTAGGGGAAGTTTTGTGTAATTCTTTTTTCAAATAGGTTTTCAATTCCTTGGTCTCTTTCTTCCCCTTCTGTCACCCCAATAATACAAATGTTGGGCCTCTTGAAGTTGTCCCAGAGGCTCCTTATACTATCTTCATATTTCTGGGTTCTTTTTTCTTTTTGCTCTTCTGGTTGGGTGTTTTTTGTTTCCTCATGTTCCAAATTGCTGGTTTGATTATTAGCATCCTCTACTCTACTGTTGATTCCTTGTAAATTATTCTTCATTTCAGTTCCTTAACCTTCATTTCAAATTGGTACTTTATTATGCTATCGATTTTCTCAGTTATTCCCTAACAGTCTGCTTAAACATCCTTATAGCCATTATTCTGAACTCTCTATCTGTTAGGTTGCTTGGATCTATTTCATTTAGTTCCTCTTCTAGAGATTTCTTCTGTTCTTTCCTTTGTGATATGTTTCTTTGCCTCCACATTTTGGNNACCAAAGAGCTGTTGTGCTGGAGACACCCTTATAGATAAGGATTTACTTCAGTGGAGCTTTGGTGTTCACCAAGTGCGCCCCTTGAGTGTCACTCATGGATGTGGTAGGATTGTAATCCAGCATGGTCAAGTCTGACCACCAGGTGCCNGTCTAGCTGCTGCCCGGCGCTGGGCTCAGAGGGAGCGTGTCTGAGTGAGTCCGTNGCAGATGCAAAGTCAGCCTGTGCCTGTGCCTTGCCCAGGGCCACCCAGCATGGGCTACACAGCAAACCATAGTTGGCTGCTACTTGTGCTGGGCTTGGCGGTGTCCAGGAGAGGCCAAGCTATGAGCCAATGCAGCTGCTGCTAGTGCCAGGCCTGGGGCCACTTACCAAGCCATATGGGGCCCGCTTCTGCTTGTTTGAGAGATTTTAGGAAAGTCCTAAGCATGAAGCTTGAGAGGCCACTTGCATAGAAATGGCCTGGATGAGCCTGCAGGTGGGGAGGGGCGGGGCCAAAGGTGTGAGTCAGGTGCTGGCGGTTCAAATATGGCGCCTGCCTGCCGGCTGTGTGCGGGGAGGACTCGCCAAGGGAGCTACGGCCTCTGCCAGCCCTTCTGCCTGGGAGGAAGCCGCCCCTCCCCCTCTCGCCCGGATCTCAGGCAGGTTAGTTCCTCCCCGAGTGTCCCAGGTTCCTGTCTAGCTGCTGCCCGGCGCTGGGCTCAGAGGGAGCGTGTCTGAGTGAGTCCGTGTGCGGGCCCTCTAAGAGGAGAGCCTGGGGCTCCCGCAGCTTCCGCGACCCTCAGCCACAGTCCCCGCTGGTTTCACAGCCTGGAGTAGTGGGGATGTCTCTTCTTGGCCCTGGAGCCCTGGGCTGGGGGCCTGCTGTGGGGCTGGNCCAAGCCATATGGGGCCCGCTTCTGCTTGTTTGAGAGATTTTAGGAAAGTCCTAAGCATGAAGCTTGAGAGGCCACTTGCATAGAAATGGCCTGGATGAGCCTGCAGGTGGGGAGGGGCGGGGCCAAAGGTGTGAGTCAGGTGCTGGCGGTTCAAATATGGCGCCTGCCTGCCGGCTGTGTGCGGGGAGGACTCGCCAAGGGAGCTACGGCCTCTGCCAGCCCTTCTGCCTGGGAGGAAGCCGCCCCTCCCCCTCTCGCCCGGATCTCAGGCAGGTTAGTTCCTCCCCGAGTGTCCCAGGTTCCTGTCTAGCTGCTGCCCGGCGCTGGGCTCAGAGGGAGCGTGTCTGAGTGAGTCCGTGTGCGGGCCCTCTAAGAGGAGAGCCTGGGGCTCCCGCAGCTTCCGCGACCCTCAGCCACAGTCCCCGCTGGTTTCACAGCCTGGAGTAGTGGGGATGTCTCTTCTTGGCCCTGGAGCCCTGGGCTGGGGGCCTGCTGTGGGGCTGGGACCCCTCGCTCCTCCGGGAAACCTCCGCCGCCGAGATTCCCTCTCCATGGCACCGGGTGTGCGCCCGCGGCCGCCTCTCGAAGATTCAGCCCTGATCCGCCCGCGTCTCCGCCCCTCCTACCGTCTGGGTGCTTCTTCAGTCCCCTGGTTGTGGGGCTTCTGTTCAGCCAGATCTCAGGAAGCTCTGAGTGATGGTGCTTCTGTATTTTAGTTGTAATTTTGATGTGGTTGCGGGAGGCGGCGGGTACAGCTGTTACCTTCGCCGCCATCTTGTTTCTCTCTCCTTTTTAAAAAATTTTTGAAAAAATATGTCTGTATTGATTTCAGAGAGAGGAAGGGAGAGAGAGAGAGGAAAACATCAATGATGAGCGAGTCATTGACCGGCTGCC